GGTGTCCGAGCCACGAGGCGGTGAAAGGGGAGGGATCGGGGGGAAGGGACGGGACCTGGACGCCGGTAACCAGCGCTTCGCTGTGAGGGTTTGTTGGGAAGCCCGAGAGGAGCGGACACAGGACGCGGGCGCTGCCATATGAACCCTGATCACGTATCCCAAGTTCAAGCCTTGTGCCCCTTTTAAAGGCTATGGTTTTGTCTAAAAAGCTGCAGCTGGTTTAAAACTAATACATTTTTCTTGGGTAAGTGTATTTTACATTTGTGCAATTCCCACATAGTGTTAATGGGTGCAGGGTAGTAGTCTTGCTATGTTTGTTTTGCTATGGAGAATGTTGTCAAGGCTTAAAAAGCTATGACCTAAGCAAGTTCAAGTATTTGCATTTACTGTGGGTGAAACATGTTTCCTTCCGCCCCCTTCCCCTGGAGATGTTGGCATTTACACTGACAGTAAAATAAAAGAATTACTGTTCAGACTGTTTTTCCCTCCCTCACCGAGTATGATGGTAAAACATTGGTATTAAGACTTAAAAGGCATAATCGTGTGAATTGTAAAGACCTGTCGTGATAAAAGCTTTAAAGGAAATTTGACTATGCTGTACAATGCTGGAGGTGGTCAGTTATACTAATAGGCCACGGTGTCTGCATGTCTCTTGCAATGTTTGGTTTGATTGCTCTACAATTCCTGCAGGGGCTGGTGGTTTTTAGCCTTAGTTTCAGCTTAGAAATACTTTTGGTAAGAAAAAAATGTTACATCTGGTGAGTCTCTTAATTGTGTGGTATAGAAAGTGTTCAAGAAGGAAAGAGGGGAGGAACAAAACAAGGAGTTTGAAATAATACTTCATTGTTTTTAGTCATTTTTAACAAACTTGTTATCCAACTAATGTTTCCGTTTCTCTTGATGGCATATTTGAAAAGATGTTGTTTCTAAAGATGATGTACATTCATGTTTGATGTCATTCTTTGATGTTATTACTCCAAAGGGGATGCCTGAAACCTGTCTTGTAACATTTGCTGACATTCACAAATCTGTTGTTTGTCAGCTGTTCTTGCCTTTGAAGGACATGAAATTCGTTTGCATCCTGATCTGTTCGAAATTGGGTTCCTCAGCTGTCGTCTGGTTGTTAAGAAAGTCTCCTCACTTCTCAGGTTCGTGGTGCCATTGCTGTGAGTACACTTGAAGGGAGACTGCAAAAACTGCTAGATAACCAACAGTAGTACCAGATATGCATAAGTGAACTAAGACTAAGGCAAATCCAGTTGTGTTTTCTGGAGGTAGGTACTGTTTTGGTCAGCAAGTAGGCAACTCATCAAGTTGCTTATGTCTATCTGAGACAAAGGAAATGTGCTCTTTAAAATCATTAGATGGTTTATTTGTCAATGCAGCAGTTAGATTCCATTGTATAAAAGTAAAGATGTATGAAATGGAAGTTACAGCTGAAAAGGCAAAATCAAATTATAAAAATTTAATATTCTGACATAATATTAAAGGAAGATAGTGCAAGCTATTCTGTATACTTAGGTTAAAGGATAAAAAAAGTTTTTAAAATATGCCCAAAAGTTGGTTTCTATGCAAAAGCCTAAGATGTCTCTGAGCATCTAACATGCAGTGTTTTGCTGAACAAGATGCTTTCTGCGTATAACCTAGGTTAGTGGTAGCCTGTGTCATCATTGATCCTAAGCATTAGAGCTGTGACAGACCTTATTTTTTCATGCTGCATTACAGGTCATCTTAAGCTTTTGACTAAACCGCTGTCCTGCCTCAAGCCAGAGCAACAAATACAAATTACAGTTCTTCCTGTCAGCAGTCTGACTGATAACAGCGGACATAACATTCAGATGGTAATCTTTGCAGGAAATGTGTTTTTTGTTTAAGTCAGAGAATAGTTTTAGATGCCCAGTTATGGTTAGATAATAGGCTGTTATGTATAAGGAAGACGTAACAATGGCATATATGGTGCTTTTAATAATATAACTGAAATGGCCACAAAAGAATTAAAACAATTGGACAACCTGGAAACAAAGGAAGAAAAAAGGCTGTTGAATTTTGTAAGTAAAGAACTAATCTCACAGGTATGTCGCAACCTGCATTTTTTATATCCTCAAGTCATTTAAAGGTATCCATGCACACTGGGGAAGTGGTAGTGAAGGCTACATTCAGATTGTGAATGATAAGCATTTGACAGGTCTGCTAAGATACCAGGAAAATATGTTTATGCTTATATATCGCATCAGGAACTGAGAACAATATGTATCTGAGATGTTCCAAGACACAGTAAATAAGCTAAATATATTGAAATACAGATCTTCAAATAATTCAGTGTTTGGAAATGGATTGTGTAAAGTCATTTGCCCAGCCCCCAACTGAAAGTTAATTTCATTTTGATTATAAACCTCAATATTAACAGAAAGGCTCTTATGGAAAATAAACCATTTAAAGCATTTTTTAGTCAGTTTTCTTGCAGAAGTTTACACTTTCTAAGCTGCATCATGCAAAAGCAGAAACTGGAGCATAGTGCTTTATTTATATTGGGGTTTTCATTTATTTGATTAAGTGGTCAAAGACAGAGGGATGGAGGAGCAAGCAGAAATTAATGTAGCTTTACCGCTGGAGAGAGAGGAATGGAAAGAGAAGGGAAAAAGAGAGTCGAACGCTGCTACTCCCTGCTACGACCCTCACTCTGTTCACCCTTGTCTGTGGAGCACTTATCTGCCCTCTGGGGAGCGGTGGTGCCAATCCAGTGTCTCAAGACCAGTGGAAACAAAGGAGGCAAAGAGCATCAGCAATTGCATCTAAGGATTTTACATGGGACTCAGAGTAAAAGTTTCAACAGGGAGAGCCAAGCAGATGGGCCTCATCAATCTTGTTGCTCGGGTGTCTGTGGTCTAGTTTATAGTGAGACTCGTGCACTGGTAGCCATGTCCAGTAGGAAGCTAAATGTGTCCAGCCCTGTTTTCTGGCCGTGAGGCCAACTGGCATGTAATGAGCTGTATCCATGCTATTGAACCCTGCAAAACAGGGTGGCTGCTGCCAAACTCCCGGTGGGGAACAGTGCCTCTGGTGGTTCCCAGAATCTGGGGTTTGCTTGGTGGGGAGCTAGCCGGCCTCCTGTGCTCGGACCTCCTGAACAGTGTAACAGTGTCAGCAGTTCGGTGCCAATGCCTGGGAATAGGCCATGGCACGTTTCATTCCACAAGACATAACATGTGCCTGCTCCCCGTGTCGGTCTTTCTAGCAAAGGCATGAATGCTGCTAAGGCAGTAAGCAGCTATACTGGACTGTCTATTTAAGACTAAGTATTTACAAATTGTTTTTTTTTTTTTTAAATTAACCTTTTTTTCCCCTCCAGATTATGGATCTGATTAGTTTTGCAGGTAGTTAACCTAGAAGTAAGAAAACCCAGAAAAGGGAGGGGGGGTGTTACTTATTCAGAAGTGTGTATCCTAGATCACAAGCAAGAACAGCAAGTGCTCAAAACTACCTCATTGTTTTCTACGAAGGACTATTTTAATACTTCTAATTGCACCAAGCCCCCCAAAGTTACCATCCCATCTGTATGTGCTTTCACCTTACCCGCTGGTTTTTTATAGCAACAAGAAAACCCCACTGAAGTACAGTTCAGATGTGAGTCCTGTACGTAATCTAATAGTCAGTGCTAGACTAAAGGTTTAAACAATGCCTGGTTTGCTTTTCAGCAGAGGATTTCTTTCAGTGCTACTGGGGAAGAAAATTGCTTTGAAATTGCTGAAGTAAGCAGTTAGTCCCGCCTGGTTCTCTGCTTGTCCTGCGCTTCTCTCAATAGGCTTGTATTGCTTGTATCTCCTGCAAAGAACGTGCACAGTTAGTTGCTGAAAGACATTTAAATGAAAGTCCACATTTAGCATGTGACCAGTGCATAAGAGAATTAATCTTGTATTCATAACATACATTCTCTCGTCTCCTTCCCTCTTCAATCCCATCTAATGATTAACAGCCATAGGTCAGTAGTGGTGACTAAGGCCTAGTTAATGAGAAGGCTCCGTTGCTTAGTGGAGTACTGTTGCTCTGTGGAGGTGTGTCTTTCTCACCACTGACTGTGAAGGATGAGCATACTCTTGACTCGGGAGTCTTGGTGCAGTCTTAAAGTTTCATGAGAAACATCCAAGCTAATAATGCAGTAATGTGTGCTTCTGTTAACTACTTTCCTGCATGTCCAGCGCTTTTTTCCCAAAGAATTTATTTGTCAATTATTTAATAAAGAATTTTGGTGATTAGTTCTTGATCTGTCAGTCATTTGCAAACACTTCTTGTAAGAGTTTTAGAGCTAAATCAAATTTCTGTTTGTTAGGTTTTACTGCATATATAAATCACATCATGCAGTTTGAGTTTGCTTACTGCTTACGTGCAGTTCCCAGCCCTTCTAGTATTACTATTTGCGCTTACAAGCACAGAATGTAATTTTCTATGGAAGTCTTCAACATGTGCATATTTTCCAATGGTTTTGTGGCTTAAGCCAGTAATCTCATTTTCTTGAGTATTTGCCAGAATATTTGTGAACAACAATGAAAAAGGAACAAAAATATAGCTAATGCAAATTTAAGTTGTTGGTTTTGTTAATTTAAACTAGTATTTTTGGCAGTTCCTTGAACTGTTTTTGATCCTAGAAACTAGCAACTTACTTGTAAAGGACAAAAGCTCCAATGGCGGCAAACACTGCCAACAAACCAAGGAAGATAAAGACACCTTCTGTTGTTCCTGATGATGACCCTGGAGTTCAGAAAGTAGTTTGATTAAAAGTTAGCCTCGTTTTTACAGTGAGAGAGATTTTCTAAAGAAAACGTCGTTTTTACTTGATTGCTGTAGAGATTGAAGTACACTTAATGCTTCTAATATGCCAAGCATCAGAGGTTAGTGACTTTGGGAGGAGGTGGTGCTTTTACATCCTGATTGGTTTAATTCTCAGTTCCACCAGAGTGTGAGTTGGGCTTTGCCAGTTTTCTCATATAAGCCATGCTCTCGAGACACATGGCTGCCATTCCAGCATGGAAGGGAACGGAGGGTCTTGCTGGCACCCCACGAGGTGAGGCTAATTTGCTCCTTGCCGATTGCTATGCTAGGGAAACGTTTACACTGAGTATAAGAAACTTAATCTCTTTATAAGCTTTAATGTTAGGATCAGCTTCATCTTTCTCTTAGGGATGATGGCCAGGGGGAAAGGGGATAAAAAAGGAGTTTCTTAAATGTTATTGTTTGTTGCAGTCCCATATGCTAAGATGGGAGAGCGTGGCTGAGAGCTTGATGGACTTAGGCTTGTTTGCCTTATCCAAGAGCTGAGGGCTCTGCTTTTTTAACGGGCTTATTCTGGGAAATTAACTTTGGGCTCTGCCTGTCATTGAACTCTGCCTTCTGGTTTGCCATCAACCATTTCACTCACATCTACTCAATTCCATCGTATCTGATGGAAGAAGCCAAATCATTACAAGTAATTTTTTTTTAAGTTTCTGTTAAATATCTTAATTTTCCAGTCCACAGGCTGTACCTTTATTGAGTTTACTGACACTGAGACACATTCTTGGTCCTCATATTAACAACAGTGTTTATACAATGAAGTAACCTAGAGGTGCATATTGGCTTACCTTTCCACTTAATAACTTATAATTGCTATCTATGAAAATCGAGATATCAAATCAGGGTTTACCATTTACGAGGTACATGTGCCTCATATATTTCTCAGTTTGTTGATACAATTGTTTGTGAAGGCTTGACCTCATTCCTAGTTTACACAATATTTTTGCTGAGACTTGTAGGGATTTACCTTATTTTATGAATAAGGTAGGTCCTTGGACTAATTTGCAAAGCAACACATACTGATGGGATGGGTCTAAATCATAGGACTGCAACTCATTCAACAGCAGCTTAAGCAAATTAAGAGCGGATGTTTTGTGCAATGCCTACATAACCCAGGCACAGTCCTGCCAAATTTCAAGGGCCAGATGTTTAGGCACCAAATTATGGGATTTTCAGAAATGCATAAATACTTGCCTTCTCTTGAAATGAGTGGAAAATTGTGCTACATGAGAGATGTTTGCAAACGTTAGATGGGCTCCTCCAGAAGGTGACTCAAAGCAGCAACCTCTCTTAGATCCTAATTCTGCTTTGATTATAGGGGAAGCCCCAAAGTACAACTTAGCTTTGCCCTCTGGAGGAAACCTAGGAAGACCAGCCTTGTTGGGCTAAAGTTAGCCTTTGTGAATACAGTTTTGAAAAATCGTACTGCATACTTATTTTCATCTTTAGGAGCCGGAATGCACTTACAGGTCAGGCACTGTGCCTTAGTCATCATGAACCGATTTCGGTACAGCTAAATTTATACCTAGATTAAATAAAATCAGCCAAAAATACTGTGGCAAATGACCGCAAAGGGTCAGTTGCTTGGTTGATAGTAATTAAGAGTTCAGAAGAGTCACTAGGACATTGTAGTGGGAGGTCACGAGGGCAATGGAGTGGGAGCAGAGAGACAGCATGATCATTTAGACTTCTGACTGAGGCTGAGTTTAATACCTGGTTCTGTCAAAGCCTGCTTTGATAACCATGAGCAAGACACAGTGATACTCATCCAACCAAAGGTAAACCTCCTGTTCTGAAATAGTTACCCTGGGCAGACTCCGTAGCCAATGAATGTTACACAGATCTTTCCAGAACCTGATTCATCTTATCCTCATGTAGAAATAGAAACCTGGTCAAGGTCAATGGGCTACAAAGAGGGCCCAGGGCAGCCAGCTCAGCTGCAGACGTTGATTCTGTCTCAACTGAGCTGAATTCCTCTCTGTTCCTTATATTTCTCCATGTGTGGAGTAAGCTGGCTGGCATGTCCCCCACCTGCTTTTCTGCCCAACAGAGTTATTCTGTGGAAAAACACATTATGGCTTAAGAACTGTTCATATTCTGTGATACTGAAGGGCTTGTATAATTACTGTACTCGTTGGATCGTAAACATAAATCAAA